TAACACATATATTGTTATATATCGCTAACACATATATTGTTATATATCGCTAACACATATATTGTTATATATCGCTAACACATATATTGTTATATATCGCTAATACATATATTGCTAACACAAACACACTATACAATTGCGTATACAAGATAACCCCACCTGCTTGCATAGCTTCTGCGCTGCCTGGAAGAACTCTGGCGAGGCGTGCACGTCTCCTCCCTCTCCCTGTATCGGTTCGGTGACGAGGCCGCACACCGGACGTCCCTGCTTCTCGTACTTCACAAAGTTCTCCTCGATCTGTGCGGGAAGGGGAGGAGGAGGAGGAGACGAAAGCAGGCGTTGTTTAGAGTTATGAGCGTCACTGCGATGTGGGGTAAGAGTTCTTAACCTGTGGTCCGTGGACCGCTTTTGGGGTCCGTGGCAAAGGGGTCCGTGGATGGGCTTCAGGGGGTCCGTGAATCCCATTGTATGCAAAATTTTGTGCTTATGCGCATTTTTCTGTGGAGGGGTCCGTAGCTTTCACGAGATTCTCAAAGGGGTCCATCACTCGAAAAAAGGTTAAGAACCACTGACGTAGGGGAGATGCCGCGAGCCGTCGCGCTGTACCCCCCGCCCACACACACACCCACCACCCACCCCCCACATCGCGCCCGCCAGCCTCGTTCGTCATGGCGGCGGTGCTCACTGGTGTTAAAAGCTGTGCACACCTACACGCATTTTCATTGCGATCGCCGGGCGATCAGCCGGCCGCAGTGGAACACTACTACGCGAGTCGGGCGTATCTGTGGATTTTCAAGCACTGCTGATTGTCTGATGAAGACAAACCCGCTTCAATTCGCAGACCCGGCACACTAGCGATTCCAGCCGGCCAGCACAAATAATTATCAACATTTGGATCGCTCGCTGATCCCCCTGGACACACACGGCGATTTTTTCAATGCGATTGAGCCGCCGGCCGGTCGCCGCGCGTATCGCGATGTAAAAAATCGCCTAGTGTCCACCCCTATAGGTTGTAACTATGTGTTCATGTTGTTTCGGTCAAAGAGCTAAATATTAACAAGAGTAGAAGCAGATTGGCTGTGCGCTTTCGCCTCATGTGGCGCCCTCTCATGACATAATTCAGCTGAATGTGCAGATGTGCCAAGTTGTTTCGGTCCTACCGCGATGCAGTTAATGCAATTTGACCCGTTACACACGCACACACACACAGAAACCTGTCACTGTCTCCCACAAGCTCTCCGTCCCCGTGCAATTCCCCTCTCCGCCCGCTCCACTCTCTGTCCTGCCCTCTCTCCTCTTCTCTCTGTGTCTCTCTCGTGCTCTCTCTGTGTCTCTCTCTCTCTCCTCTCTGTTCTCTCTCTCTCTCGCTGTGTCTCTAACCCCCCCCCCCCCCCCCCCCCCCCCCCACCCCCCCTCTCTCTCTTCCGCTCTTCTCTCTCTCTCTCTCCTCTCTCCTCTTCCTCCCTCTCTCGCCTCGCCTCTCTCTCTCTGCTCCCTCTCTTCCTCTCCCCTCTCTCATCCCCTCTCCTCTCCCTCTTCTCTCTCTCCCCCCCCCACGCGCGTGCAGTAGAGTCAAAGGTCGACTCATCGTTTGCTATGGTGTCAATCGCGCGTCCTCGCGATTTCTTTCCTCCCTCGCGTGTTCCTCTCGGAGCGGATTTGTAGTGGCGGTAAGAGTCGCGATCGGCCAACAAGCGTCGGCCACGTCCGACTTGTGAACGACCTTGAGTGTGCGACTCGCCTAGCGCTGCCGCGGAAGATCGCGCGAATAGAGTGACGCGCGCTTGTCAAGGATCGGAAGGACGGGCTGTGTTGGTTCGAGGTCTATACGCGTGGGGGCAACGACGACGATTCCCTACACCCGATGGGATAAAATAATATAGAAATAAAATAATAAAGCGTGAGAAACGCGTTTACTTCTACTTTTCACTTCTAACTATAACAGTATCTGATAAGTCGATTACCGGATGCAACTCTAATTTAAACGCCCGATAAGAGAGGCGAGAATGTGTGTGTTTATACTATAATCTCACAACAAACCCGGTTTCGGTTGCCGCCCTCCTTAAACTAGGATGAACATCCACACAAGTATCTAGATGAGGTATCGAAAGTTATCTAAATAAGGTATATTATTAAGGTGTATAAAAGATAGTACTAGATAAGGTAAATGTAGGTAGCAAAGATATTTAAATCGTTAGATAAGGTTATCTAAAGTAATACAAAAGGTTATCAAGATAAAGTTATTCGAGAAGATATCTAAACATAATCCAAAAGGGTATCTAGATCAATTAATTCCTAAAAAGGTATTATCTAGATTTACTAAACTAAACCATCTTACCAGGTAATACACATACTCCGACAGTGGGGAGGCTGTGGTACCATGTTTCGGCCGTGTGCAAGGCCCGGAGAACCCATGAAGCGTGTCGAACAGCTCGGCGTGCTTAGTATCCTACAGGCACCGCTATCAGCTCCTTCCTGCGTGAGCGGAGCGCATCTCTATGCTTCACCGCAATCACACGTCAGGATCAGTCGAGGCGCCATTGTTTTCCGTGCGCGTCGTAAATCGTCACCCGCAGTTGTAGATGTCGATATGAATGACTACTACTTTTTTTTTTTAGGTTAGGGTTTAGGTTAGGTTTAGGTTAGGGTTTAGGTTAGGGTTAGGGTTAGGGTTTTTTTTTTTTTTTTAAGTGACCAGTAGTCATATCCTAAGTGCCTAGTAGTCATATCATATCGCATCTAACTGCCGGGTGCTTGGTAAACCCCCCACTGGTCTGGAGTTGGTAACTTTTGAGTGGGACTGGGTATAGATTTTTGTGTATTTTTTACAATAATTAATATTGTATTGTATTGTGTTATATTGTTGAGAACTTTAACAAATGAAAACAACTGCAAACAAACGCACGCACGCAGGAATCAGCGAGCCGTCAATGTTTCTGTCCTCACCGGCGTCAGTAATAGCAGCCTGACCCCCCCCCCCAAGTATGTGATTGGTAACATTTGAGCAGGACTGCATTGTTTTTGTGTATTTCACAATGGGTTATATCGTAGAATGAAATTGTAAATCGACGCTTTTAGATATTAGGATTCATCATGGGTTTTTGAGCTCATTTCCAAGGCCGTCCACACATCCGTGCACTTTGCGCAACATTCGCAATTGCGATGCGCCGCAATTCGCAGCTGCGATCTCAGCAAAACAGGTGCAAGCCGAGAATAAATCTATGCCCCCAATTTTTTTCTTTCTAAGAAAAAGCTCGACTTTTTTTCGCGGTGCGGCGCTGGCGGAAGGAACGCACGTACTTTGTATGCGATGCTCATCGCTTTGTAGGCATTCTCGTTTGAGCACGATCCACACATCATCGGCTGCACCTGCGACAGGCCTGGTGGCGCCACCTACAATCGAAAAATCGTAACATTTGAAAGCGAATAATAACCTCACTTTTACGCGTGAAGAAATGCAAAATCAAACTTTTCAAAATCAAACAAAAATTTCTTTGCAAAGAAGCGATTAAGACAATCTTCATCGCCACAGCTTTGCCAACGACTAGAGATATATATTATATACGATGGCCCCATTGTCAGAAACAAAATATGACGATTCGATAAGATGATCGATTGGCATAGGCCTCAGTAAAGAGACCATAGTTAAGACTAACAAGTGCCGCAGAGCGACAGCGCTCATCTAACGTCTACTGCGGTGACTCTGTGGTGGAGTGG